AGAAAAACATAAGGGGCAATATGAAAATGCTTAGGAAAGAACTACCTAAAAATACCTTGTTCTTTGATGTTAGCTCTTAATTTTGAATTTTAAAAATACCTTAGATTCCAGAACAAAAATTATTCAGGTTATTTTTATGTGCTTTTGAATGACAGCAAACTAATTTATCATACAGTGTAGATTTTCTTTTCCCTTAGACTTTAAAAGTGTAATTTGTTCCTTCAAATGTTTTACTTACCAAAGTGGAGAAAGATTTGTATGATACTTAAGATTTCCTGATGAAGCACCGAAAAACTGTCCTCCAGCCTAAAAAAATAAGACCCATTGCTTAATAGTTACTGTGCACCATGTTACCTTTTATTCTTAGATCTCTTATGCATGCAGGTGTGTGTGTGTGTGTGTGTGTGTGTGTGTGTGTGTATGTGAAGGGGTGCCCATTCCAACAGAATTTAAAGCCAGCATGGACCTTGTTTCTTTACAGAACTAGTATTCTGGTTGATAATCTTTTTGTCCTATGGAGACTTTTCTTTAAGTCAATAACTCAGACTCAAACTGCATAATGGTAACTATATTTTAAACCAAAAAAAAATTCCTCACATAATAAATACATTTTATGCACATTAACTTCAAATTTACTTCAGAAAGCTATTTACAATATAAATAATTATAAATGGGAACACTTTGCGAGATATCATTGACATAGCTAATATTTTCTACTTTACATTCCAAAGTAAAAGTTCCAATTACAGCTTTATTCTACAATATCACTAAAAACTATACATTGTAAGATGGTATTTGGAATATTGACAATCAGTATCTTCTCTCACAAATATAATCCTTTTTATAACATTTCAGTCAAAAAGCAAACATAAAATATTTTCTCTTTTTTGAAGTGCCTACTCATATGTTTAATTTTTGAAATATTTGACTTTGCAAGAAATGAAAAAAAAAAGTTACAGTACTTCTAAAAAGTTTTCTGGGCCAATTTCATTTCTGAAATGACATGAAGATTGTTCGGCATAAATTTAATTATGATTAAATGTGTCCCAGATCAATAAATTAAGACAAACTGTTCCCATCAAGGTTTACAAAAACAAAGTTCCATGCAGCAAACAAACTACAAATGTTTGTTTTAAAATGATCAATTAAGATTTCTTTTGTGAATGATCTACATATAAAATTGGATATGCCACATTTTTTAAATCCCTAAAATGATACAAAAACCATAACATGTGTGTGTGTGTGTGTGTGTGTCCTTTCTGCATACAATCTTCAAGAAAGAACTCTGAACAAACACCTATTTGGAAATGAGTACAATCTCAGCTTTAAGCACTACCCGTACAAGCTGTGTGCACAATAAATGAGCACCACACAAAAATTTTCCTCAAGAACATTTTCTATGTATATCTTTTGCATGTGTCCATAGATGTTCTGCAATCCCTTTAAAATTTAGAATGATGTTTTATCCACAATTTGTTTCACAGTAAGAACTAGCCCATTGATTTTTTTTTTTTTTTTTTTTTTTTTGTTTTTTTTTTTTTTGCCCAGACTTATATCCCTATTCACAAAAATGACCTTTGCATGAAAGCTGAATCACTTATTTGGAGGAATGTAAGATTTACATTCTTTATTAAATCAATCCAGAAATAAGATTTATGTCTACATCTATGATGTAAGTGAAGTAGGGGCCAAATCTGGGCATCCAAACTTTTATATCAGGTCTGGTTAAAGTGTAAGTTATTCTATCAGACAAGGTGACTCACTCTCAAAAGGATATTGTTTTCTAAATATCAGCATTCACTCTGTCATTCCCAAGTACTAGTACTAACAGATTGCACTGAATTTCTTCATAATGCCCTGCTCTTGAACAAGAGAGCTGTAAAATACCAAATCTGCATTCAGAGTGTCTCTTAAGCTGTATTATCTTCTATCAAACTTATTTGGTCTAGGTCTTGGTGTGTGTGTGTGGGGGGGTCTTTCATTTTATTTTAAAATATCTATGTATATTTTCCAAGTGACTTTGTATTACAATTGATCCTCATCTTCCAATTCAAAAAAAGAAAGAAAAATGGAACATACTATCCTTTTTCTACAAGATTGCATTAAAACTTATTGTAAGTGGGATTCTCTGCACCGAGGTAGCATGTCGCAGCAGGGTGTAGAGAGAATTAAGAACAGTACGGAGTGCAAATACCTAGCCCTGTAAAAATATAATCAGTAAATAATAGGTGGCTTTTTCTGTATACACACTGAGGCCGAGTCATTTATTGCATCCTATCTCATTCTGAATGTCACATCAGCGTGTCATATCCTCTTGTCAGACAATTAGTTTAGAAAAGCTAGCACATTAGATTCAGCATAATATGACAAAAGACCTTTAGGTGTGGAACGTGCACTCAAGAGGATCACCACAGTGTCGAGGCCAACCTGGGCTACATGGGGAGTTCTAGGCAAGCCTCAGCTACGAAGTGAGACCCTGTCTCAGCCTTCCCCTAAAAAGCCGATTTAAGTTTAATTTTTAACTGATTGAGTTACAAGGAACATATTTATTTTACATTCTACGTGTTTAAGGCATAGGTGACATCATCCTTATGAGGAAATATGCTCCTGCACAGAAAAAATGAATTGTAAATAAGTTTTGCACATCTACATGAACAGTAGGAACTTACCTTGTCATAGAAATGTCAATTTATTTTGGAACATTTTGTAATAATTATGCCATACTAGAAAAGATGTAAGCTAACACTGTGAGTCTATAATGGCTTGTATGCAATCTAATAAAATTATTGACATTTAGTATATTAAATAAATGTTTATGTATTTTAAAGTGGGTCAATTACCAAAAATTTTAAGTAAAATGTAATTTAGGCCAGGTGCAATGCACATTCTTATAATCCCTGCTCCCTGGGAGGCTGAGACAGACTGGTGAGATTTTCAAACCCCACCTCCACAAAAGAGTAAGAACTTGTTTCAAAAAATAAAAAGGCCTGGGGGTATAGCTCAGTGTGAAGACCTTGGGTTCAATCACCAGGACCTCCCCCCAAAAAGTAATTTGATTAATTCTCTAATCCATTAAAAATATTGAAACAGGGCCGGGGATTTAGCTCAGCGGTTCGGTGGCCTGCCTTGCAAGCAAGCGCAAGGACCCGAGTTCAATCCTTGGTACCAAAAATAAATAAATAAATAAATAAAATAAAAATATTGAAACATTCTTCCTCCTGTTTAACACCTATCTTTGGGAGATCATAATTTATTCCTTCCACTAATTAACTATTTGCCACATAAAAAAATGTCACTGAAATTCCTTTAGTGACTCTTTTTTTTATTATCAATTTATTTTCCTTGGTTTCAAATTTCCATTTCTCTTATAGCTGTAGCTGACATTTGGTTGAATATAACCATCAATACACCTGTATAAAATTCCTTTCCAAATTTGTCATATTTGTCAGGTATTTGGGCCTTTGAAACATTTATCCATCTATACAATTTTTCAGAATCTTTAGCACTCCTAAAACCTTACCTTATGCTGCAAATTAACCAAAATCCATTTTAAATTTTCCAGGGATTTCTCACAAATAATTTTCTCAAAATTACTCAATACTTTTTTCTTACACAGTTTAAAATTTCATTTTTATGGTACTTTGAACATTTTTGAAAGTATGTATAACTACTACCTTTCTCACCTACTTGCACCTTTTTGTATTTACACTGACAAATGCTCTGTCATAACTCAAGAAAATTATTTAATTATATAGCCTCTTCTCTCATGTATAAACAAATTGGTGTTCACCTCTCAAAGTACTATCATGCAGATTGTCACCCACCTATGGACAAACAGCTGTGTTAAATGATGAAATTATAGTACTAAGCCCTGAGGGTCCAATGTCATGATCCATTTTCAAAATTCTAGGTCAAATTCTTTCAGTACATTCCCTTCCTTGAATACGGAAAGAATTACAGCAATGGGACCCCTATGAAATATTATCAATAAAATTTCTCTCATCATTCATGTCATTTTGCTTTGATTACTGGAGAATCATGCATTAAACAAACCTGAATATTTTTCTTCCCCTTAAACATTTTCTATCACCTACATTTTGTCTGCATCTAAGAGAAAGTTCGATGTAACTACACCTGCCTAAAGAGCCCAAACACTTGCTTAGGATTACAGCTGTAACAGCAAGTTTGTTGTTTCTTGGTTTCCAAACAATAAAGGAAATGAACATTTGCCTGTTCCTTCGGTCCAAAGCTCCTGCTCCTCTCACCCTTTTAAATACTTGTCTATTTGCCTAAGCTTCTATCTTAGATTCTCTCCCGAGGCTTTCTGCATGCTGACACACTGGCACATCTGTGCTCTGAAATATTTTCAAACACTTACACGGCTGTCACATCGCACTTCACTGGCTTTCCTTAGTCATCTTTGCACTTATCAACCTTTTTTCTTGGGGAATTGGTTTAAATGTTTTATTTCACCAGTTTTATTAGCAAGCCCCAAATATATTGTTTACCTATTCTGAGCCTTAAATTGTTTGTTTTAAGATGTAATTTCACTCCACTCTGCCACTGGCCTTCCCATCTTCACTAAGCTACTTCCAATTGAGCACACCGTGTTTTTGATGTGTCTCCGAACATCTCAGTGCTTAGAAAAGCCCTTACTGCTATGTCAGTGCAATCCTTGTCTAACTCAAAAGGTGAAAACATCACCACTTCCTGTTTGCTTATAATGGATACCAGGTGAAAACTCATTCTTGCACCATAGCCAGAACTAGTTCTTTAATTTACGCCTCAACCAAATGAGCTGATTTGTTTGAAATCACAAAGCAGTCAGCTTACAGGATGTGTCCCTGCCTTCCTTAGTTACACTGGGAATGGAAATTTATTTAAGAATCTTAATGTGGTGGAGTTAAGGAAAGGTGCCCATTTTGTGTATATGTATGGTATATGTTTTCTATTTCTGCAGGTAAAGTGTACGTAGAAGTTTGTGAACAGTGGTCTTTGTGTATAGGTTTCACTGGGTCATAACAATACAATGTCATTCATCAGCCCTTTCAGGTAGTGTGTATGGTTGCTTAATTTACGTAGCATTTTTCCATTCTAATTATACCTACTCTGGTTCCCCTATAATTAGAGGAGCAATTTATGTGTTCATGTTAGCTCCCTGTAAATAACCCTGAAAGTTAGTGTTATTTTTTTCTTTCATTTCACAGGAACTCATGTCAAACACCCAGTAATTGTTATCTGAACAATCTGTGACACACTAAATGATGGTAAGGAGGCATTAAACTATAAATATGTTTCAGAGATCCTCGAAGAACAAAGTTTTTAAAAAATAAAAAACATCAGCTTCCATTGGTTATTATAACAGATGTTCCCTTGTGTCCTGGTGCTGGGTCTGGCTGCATCCTCAGATGGGAAGTTACGTCAAAGTGTGAGCCATTACAGCCCAAGGAATAGTTTCTAATGGTTTCACTGTCATATAAGTGCTCCAGGGCATATCCAGTTAATGTGTAAGCATGCTTATCAAAATACTGCCTGTGAGAGCCAAAGCAGTTTGGAGAAACAGCAGCATGGTCTCCCACTGTCTGATGAGGAGACATATCTGAATGTAGATAATCTTTAGCCAGGATCAAACTGGATTTTGAAATGCGATCAGAATTGGGACTACTTATCCGAGACAGTGCAGTGGGACTGTTGTCATAGTCATTGTCATGAGGACTCAGCATCTTTCCCTCTCGCTGCGGGATGTGGTCACATGGTGACGTGCTGGCCAGAGCAGAGCTGTGGCAGACTTCCCCTGTTGGTGGGGGCTGGGAGTAGTTTGCAAAACAGAGGGAGTGTTTTTTCCCTGCTCCATTAATGGATGCCAGTTGGTCTGGGGGCACTTTCCTTAGCTGCAATCTGTTTTCTTCTTCTTTAATCATTTGCTGGGTAGCTCTTATTAGAGTTTCAATTTTGCTAGGTTCATGTGGGCTAGTCTGATACTGTTCAGTGCGATATCGGTCACCGGATTCACTGGCCGACCCCGGGTCTGGAGAGCTGACCACACTATCTTCATCCCAGTGACCTCGCCCTAGAAATCAGAAAAAACACAAAGTGAGTGGTCTCAAAATTCACCAAAGTAAAAAGTGTATTTTTTTCCTACTAAAAGAAATCTTTTTCTTTCATTTTTAATATATGTACCAATATTTGAAACAGACATGGGGTCTATATGATGATGTCAATTCTGTATACTAGAATTCATATTTAAATCATTAAATTTTAAGGGCAGGTAAATTTGACAACAAATATCTTAGAGGACAAACCTTGCTCATTGGTTCTATATGCCAATTAGTGAAATAGTAAATTATGGATATACATACACTTCTCCATTTATGTATTTAATAAGATAGTAAGACCTGCCCAGTTGCAAATAATAAAATGAAGATACACACAACATGATTTATGCTACCTTCTAAAGCAATGTCATGTTAGACTGATGTTTAAAAACTACTTTCAATTAAGTTTCAGGAAAATAATCACACAGACGGAATTACTTCTCTCTGTTCTAAATAATTCTTCATTAAAAATGCTAGTATTGCTCAATGTATCTTAAGTAGGGTTACAATGATGATATAAGGTTTGTCTTTCTAGACAAATGAAGGTTGAAAATATATTCATATATCTGTGTGTGTGCACGTGTGTGTACATATGTATGGTGCATGCATGTACATGTGAATGGACAGAGATGTGGATATAGCTTGTCCTAATTAAAAATATAACTAAAATTTTATCAAATGTAATGGTATCTCAGCTTCAGAGGTAGTCATATAGAAACTCGGGTATCTTAGAAACTCAGGTATCTTACATTGCTTCTGAAATAAGGTGAAGAATAAATAAATATTAACAACTTTAATGACAACCTTCTCTGAACCAAGGAAAGAGAACACAGAAGAATAGTGCATCCAAAGTGTATTTCATAAGCCAGATTATTCTCAAAACGGTCTGAAGCTGATATAAAAAAAAGAAGAAAAATAGGCAGGGACATATGAAATCTGTACACTGCTTACTGCAGCAGAGAAGCCTTGGATCGCACTATTTATTGCGTTCCTTTTCTCCTTTCTTCTTATTTTATTTTTAATATTTTCCTCCAGATCAAGAAGGTCAAGCCAGGATTTTCACTTCACTCCTTTTTGGCAAGCAGTTGCCCTTTGCCCTGGGTTTTCATTACCAGACTACCAAAATGTTCCCAGATTGGAAACAGGTGATTTACTCAAAGAAAATATCGAATAATAAAAAGCAAGAATAGAAACAAAATTACTCATAGAGGGGTAAGGAGGAAACATGAGAAAAGGAAAAAAAATGAAAAAAATTGATAAAATTACTCATTGAAGGCTGTTAGTGTCTAGGTGACATCTGACAGGTGGCTTTAGGGATGAGGACATCTCGCGTCCTAAAGGCAAGAAGAGGGGCTGGGGATTTAGCTCAGTGGTTCCGCCGCCTGCCTTGCAAGCGCAAGGATCCGAATTCAATCCCTGGTATCAAAAATTAAAAAAAAAAAAAAGTAAGCTAAAGGCAAGAAGAGTAATGCCAGGACCTTCAGATCAATCTTGTCACTGACTTCTAATGCAGCAGGGAGGTTTTCAAAGACCTGTCTTTTCCATATATCGCTCCATTTTTAACCTACGGGGCATTGTGATTGTCTAGTTATAGAGGAAGGGTGCAGTTAATTCTCAGAGAGGCTAAGATCCACTGTATGAGTGATAGACCACAAAACAAAGACTGGCTGGCCTCTTCAAAATTTCTGTATGCCCTTATTGCAAAGCACCCCTGTAGCCTATATAAATAAGTTCAAGTCCGCCTTCGAAGCATGGGAATACAGAAGAAAATAATACAGGAGAGATTTAAATGCATGCATGCTACACATTTAACAGAAAAGAATTCGCTTTTACTTAATCTCTACTCTTTTTTTTTTTCTTATATATCATAAATATACTCAGCAAACATTGCCAGAGTGAATACACTTAAACGGACTCAACCTGACCTTTGCTTTTTGAACTGGCAATTCCACTGTTGTTTTCTTCTTTTTGTGGGGAGCCGGTGGATTTTTTAAGTTGAAGGAGAGCACGGCTTGGGTCAGTACCTCGGGGGACCGACCCCACACTTACAAACCCGCCCAGGACTCGGGCTGGCTCCAGAGCCCTTACCGTGGGTCCTGTGCACCGAGGCGATGTGCGGCATGCTGTTCTCGTAGGCTTCCCTGCTCTCCGGGGAGGCCTTGGTCAGCGGCAAGGCTGCGCGAGAGCCCCACCAGGGCTCCCTCCCGGCCTGCGGCGCTCCCAGGAAGTACCTGCCCGCCTCACAGCGGCCTCCCTCACAGGCCTGGCCGTGGAAGTGCCGGTCCTCCACCAGCCGGGAGTGGTCGAGCGCGAAGCCGTAGCAGAGCGAGCTGCGGTCGGAGAACTGCCTGTAGGCGCAGGACGCGTCGTGCTGCGAGCCCGGGCGCTCGGCCGGGTCCAGGAGCTGCGGAGAGGCTGTGTCGGTCAGGGGACTTCCGCCCCACTGGCTGTCATGATCTGATTCCGATCTTTCCGTGTGAAATCCCGAATACTGAAACCCAGAGGAGGGAAAGGCCATTTCACAAATAAATAAATTAGTTAAACAAATAAAAACGCTGCAAGCACCCTTAAGCTCATGCTGGCCAAATCAGGACTCACTCTAGCACTCTTGGACACCTCTAATTTGGAAGCACTTAATTAATCAAATGATGTCTCCGTAGAAAACCCTTTGGTCTGTCAAGGGAAGAAGTAAAATAACAAACATCAAATGAAGAACAGAATGAAGTGTTGCTTGTAAATTATGCCAAGCAGTTCTTCCAAAACCTTGAATGGTGATTTTAGAGCCCCCATCTTACGGACAGTACAGCTAAGGGTCAAAGAAGGAAAGTAATTCGCCCAAGGCCACGGGTTAGCAGGTATGGGAGGGGAAAGGAAAGCAAAAAGAATTAAAATGAATTATGTACATGTACCGACTCCCCACAATGAATGTCATTCATCATTATGTGCTGCAAACATGCACTAATAAATTTAAAAATCAAACAAAAAAATTCAAACCCAATTTCCTCACTACATGAATGAATTCCCAAAAAGAGGATTCCAAGAAAGCTCCATATTTTATTTGTGTTTGTTCTCCACGTTTCTTCTTAATTAGAAAAACAGAGAAACTAAGGTTTAAGAAATCAACATGCCAAACTCTAATCTTATACTAGACTGTTAACTCTGAATGCCATGGGCACTCGGTAGAAAGTTAATGTTTACCTAATCCAATCGCAATCTGACTTTCAAAAGTCTTGTCCCATATAAACTGGATCTGTTCATTGGAATATTACTGTCTAAACTAAAACTTCAAATACTCCTAGGATCACGGCAGTAGGCGGAGGAAACAAGCCACAGGAAACACTGTCACACTGCTCACCTGCTCCCAAACTATCTGGTCAGGTAACGGAAGAAAATGAGTAAAATTCTCTGCAGGCTTCCCTAGAAACTGTGCTCAGTTTGAAGGGCCCCATAAACCACTAAAATTGATAGTCTAATTATTTCTGATTCAATTTTTCATTTCCTAATGCCAAACACAATTCTAAGTATTACATAGAGATGACCTGCTATGATAATAAAATCTGCCATTTTTTGAGAATTTATTGTGCACCTAATAATATCCAATTATTTCATATATATATATGTATATATATATACATATATATAAGTGTGTGTGTGGGTGTGTGTGTGTGTATAACTTCTTATACCACTCTAACATGCTGTGAAATAACTCTAAAAGATACAGAAACTACGTCATGAAGAGTTTTAGTAAGATGCCATAGCCACCTCATCTGGTCTTAAAGCTGGCACTACAAATAAGAGTTATAATTTGAATAATAGTTATAATAACAATAACCAAATATAATAATGATAACCAAATAAGAGTTATAGTTTGAAATTTAAGTACTGCTAAAGAAAAAGAGCAGAGAGAAAAAGATTCAGTGTTAAAAGATATAAGTTGAGAGGAAGAAACTTCTTTACAATCCCTAGAACCAAAATAAAGGTCCATTGTACATTTTCTTTCCTAGCCCAGGAGAGCAGTTGTGGTATTGAGGGGTGAGCAGGAGCGGGGGACCCAAGCTCTACTGTTTTGCCTTGACACATGCTGGCTGAGCAAACTTTGCGCGTCCAAGACCTTCACCCGGCAAGGCAAACTCTCCAGGAGGCCCACAGGGAAGAGGAGGAAGAACTCTGGCTCTTCTCACTTCAGTGCAAACAGGCAACTCCGCCTAGGGCTCTCGAACAGAGAGATGAGATACAGAGGTTGTTCTTCAGTATGTACCAACTCCCAAGAAATGTCATCATTATGTACTGCAAACTTGTACTAATAAACATTTTTTTAAAAAAGCTTGCTCTTGGATAGCTCCAACGAATGCCAAAATATGTATCATGCTCAGGACACTGTAAATTCCAGGTTCAAGATTTTCCTATTACCATTCAAATTATTACTTCAGGGCCAGGGATTTAGCTCAGTGGTTCCTTCGCCTGCCACGCAAGTGCAAGGACCCGAGTTCAATCCCAAGTACAATATATATA